CTTATTAGCAAAAACATTTATTACTCAACATTTGGATTTATTGTTTGCATATTCCTGTATTGGGATGGAAAAATAAATGGAACAGCCAAGCAAAGCTTCCAATAATTCTCACTGCATAACCATATAAGCACGCACGGGAGATATTGCAGGTTCAGTTCAAGACCACTGCAATAAAACAAATATCAAAATAAAGTAAGTCACACATAATTTTTGGTTTCCCAGTGCATATAAAAGTTATGTTTAAGGCCAGGTACGGTGGCTCACGCCTGTAATCGTAGCACTCTGGGAGGCTGAGGCGGGTGGATCGCTCAAGGTCACGAGTTTGAGACCAGCCTGAGCAAGAGCGAGATCCCGTCTCTACTAAAAACAGAAAGAAATTATTTGGACAACTAAAAATCTATATAGGAAAAATTAGCCGGGCATGGTGGCGCATGTCTGTAGTCCCAGCTACTTGGGAGGCTGAGGCAGTAGGATTGCCTGAGCCCAGGAGTTTGAGGTTGCTGTGAGCTAGGCTGACGCCACGGCACTCTAGCCAGGGCAACAGAGTGAGACTGTCTCAAAAAAAAAAAAAAAAAAAGTTATGTTTAAACTATTTTGTAGTCTGTTAATTATACAATAACATTATGTCTTTAAAAAATGTATATACATTAATTAAAAAGTACTTTATTGCTAAAAAATGGTAATGATCATCTGAACCTTCAACTATTCATAATCTTGTTGCTGGTGGAGGGTCCTGTTGATGTTGATAGCTGACAAATGATCAGGATGGTGGATGCTGAAGGCTGGGGCAGCTGTGGCAATCTCTTAAAATAAGACAACAATGAAGTTTGCCACATCAATTGCCTCTTCTTTTCACAAAAGATTTCTCTATAGCATGGGATGCTATTTGACAGCATTTTACCTAATAGAACTTCTATCAAAATTGGAGTCAATCCTCTCAAACCATACTGCTGCTTTATCAACTAAGTTTATGGAACATTCTAAATCCTTTGTTGTCCTTTCAACAGTGTTCATTGCATCTTCACCATGAGTAGACTACATCTCAAGAAACTGCTTTTGTTAGAATAGAAGACTAGGAGAAAGAGCTGGGACTGGCTGCATGGGCTTGAAGATTGGGTGCCACCAGTAAAAACAAACAAACAAAAACTCTTAAGCAGAAGCTAACTAGAGGGGCTGATAATTGCAGGAAAGAACTAGCTTCAATGACTTGTCAGCTATCTCAGCCACGTTAAATGAATTTTGGCTAATTACAATATCATTTACATTGAACTTTTAAAATTTCTCCACCCTTGAAATCATCATGACCATTCCAAAACAACCACATAAAGTACGAAAATGGGAGGGAACCCAACTCTAAGTACTACTCAAATTATTAGTAAAAGCCAACACCTTGCCTTTGAATATTCCTCCCATGGATTAGTAAAACTACAAAAGATCTAAAACCACTTCCTCCCAATGCAGCTGCTCTCTTTCCAGTCTATCCACTCTCTTTCCTGAGAGTATATTTTTACTTTCAATAAAAGCTGTCACTTAACATGGCTTACAAAATTCTTTTCCCAACCATCACCAAGAACTTGGATAAACCTCCACTCAGAGGCCAATAACACCTTCTTTGTTCATCCATAAGAAGCAACTACTCATCCATTCAAGTTTTATCACAAAGATTGCAGCAATTCTGTCACATCCTCAGGCTGTACTTCTAATTTTAGTTCTATGCTATTTCCTTTACATCTACAGTTACTTCTTCCACTGAAGTCTTGATCCCCTCAAAGTCATCCATAAGGGCTGGAATCACCTTCCTCATTGCACAGGCCCTAGAGGTTTGTTTTTTTTTTTTCCTCTCTCAAATGACTTAGATTTAATCATGGGAAGCAAACTAAATGGAAACCTTACAATAGAGAAGAATTACATGTCAGTGCTTTTTAAAAACTGAGCTGGGACAGAAAGGGACTGGGGTTGCCCCTCAACCTGATCCCTTCCAAACAAAGACGTCCACAGTGTTCCTGGCACTCTGGTTGAGGAAAGGGGGAGACTTTGCTGGTTTTGTGCATGGAAGTCACCTAGCCCAGCACTTATTCCTGGCCAGCATCAGGAGCCCCACCTTGCCGGCTCTGGTCATTGCCCTTCTTTTTGTGGCCTGAGACAATGTCATCAATCCACAGCAGCAGAACTGCCATCTCCACTGCAGTCTTATATGTCTGCAGCTTCACAGCCAATGGCTCCCGTATGCCTAGCTCTTTCAGGTCCACCAAAGTACCTGTCTCACCATTTACACCCCAGGTCTCATTGTTCTCTTGGGTATGCTTGCCCTGAAGGGAGGTAAGCAGACGGATGGCGCTGGTCCCACAGTTCTGGATCAGGATACAAGGAATGACCTCTAGGGCCTGGGCAAGAAGGAGGAATCACCTGCTTGGAATCACCTGCTTCATTAACAGCAATTAGATTGCTGTTAATGTGGATATTTTTACCTCTTCTTCCCCTGAAGCACACGTTTTTAAATGGCCTCTAGAATGGTGAATCCTTTCCAGAAGGTTTTCAATTTACTTTGCCCAGATCCATCACAAGAATCACTATGATAACTACAGCTTTACAAAATGTATTTATTTGGAATAATAGACTTGAAAGTCAAAATTATTCCTTGATCCATGGGCTGCAGAACGAATGTTGTATTAGCAGGCATGAAAACAACATTTATCTTGTACATCATCAGAGCTCTTTGGTGCCAAGGTGCATTTTCAATGAGCACTAATATTTTGAAAGGAATCTTCTTCTCTGAGCAGTAGGGCTCCACAGTGGGCTTAAAATATTCAGTAAATCATGCTGTAAACAGATGTGCTGCAATCCAGGCTTTGTTGTTCCCATTTCTAGGGCACAGGCAGAGTAGATTTAGCATAACTCTCAAGGGCCTTAGGATTTTTCAGAATGGTAAATGAGCACTGACTTCAACTTAAAAGTCACCAGCTGCATTAGCCCCTAACAAGAGTCAGCCTTTGAAGCTTTGAAGCCAAGCACAGACTTTTCCTCTTTAGCTATGAAAATCTTCAATGGCATCTTTTTCTAATAGAATGCTCTTTGTTCCACATTGAAAACCTAGTGTTTAGCGTAGCCATCTTAATCAATGATCTTGGTGGGATCTAAATAATGCTGCAGCTTTTCCATCAGCACCTGCTGCTTTACCTTGTATTGTTATGATACAGAGACACCTTCTTCCTTAAACCTCATGAACCAACCTCTGCTAGCCTCAATCTTCTCTTCTGCAGCTTTCTCACCTCTGTCAGCCTTTATAGAACTGAAGAGAGTTTGGGCCTTGCTCTGGATTTAACAGAATGTTGTGGCTGATTTGACCTTCTATCTATAGCAATAAAACTTTCTTTATACTAGCAATAAGGCTGTTTTGCTTTGTTATTCCTATGTTTACTAGAATAGCACTTTTAATTTCCTTCAAGAGTTTTTCCTTTGCATTCACAACTTGGCTAGCTCTTTGACACAGGAGGCCTTGCTTTCGGCCTATCTCAGCTTTTGACATGCCTTTCTCACTAAGCTTAATTATTTCTAGTTTTTGATTTAAAGCAAGAGATGTGCAACTCTTCCTTTCACTTGAATACTTAGAGACCATTGTAGGGTTATTAATTGGTCTAATTTCAATATTGTTGAGCCTCAAGGAATAAAGTGGCCCAAGAGAAAGGAAGAGAGACAGGGCAGCAGCCAGTTGATGGAACAGTCAGAACATACACATTTATCGACTAAGTTCAATGTCTTCTTATATGGGTATAGTTCATGGCACCCCAAAACAATTACAATAGTATCATCAAAGATCACTGATCACAGATCACCATAACAGATATAATAATAATTTAAAAGTTTGAAATTTTACAAGAATTACCAAAATGTGACATAGAGACCCAAAGTGAACACTATTTAAAAAATGGCACCCATAGCCTTGGTGGACACAGGGTTGCCACAAACCTTCAATTTGTTAAAACAACAATTAAAAAAAGAAAAAACAGTATCTGTGAAGGGCAATAAAGTAAAGCATAAGAAAATGATGTATGCATGTATTTAGAATAATAAAAGATTTTCCCTTTGCATCAAGAAATGAACATGTTCCCAGAAAAATGGATGGCTACCAAAAAAGAAAAAAGAAATTAACATGGATTCAATAACACAAAAGTGACTAAAAAACAAATGTGTTGGCTGGGCGCGGTGGCTCATGCCTATAATCCTAGCTCTCTGGGAGGCGGAGGCAGGCGGATTGTTTGAGCTCAGGAGTTCGAAGCCAGCCTGAGCAAGAGCGAGACCCCG